CGCCATGCCCCCAAGAAACCATTCACCCTGCTATTGTCCTGGATTTCACATACAGAAAAACATGAAACAATAACAACAATAAGAAAACCAACAACAATTACAAACTAAAACAGAGAAAGATCTCGATCGAAAAGAAAGCAGAAAATATTAAAACTTACAACAAAATTAACATGGGTCAACAGGGAGGTCAAATGATAAGGTCTTACATTTTAACCAAGCTGCATCTGAAACAATCCACTTTCCAGCGCGCTCTGCATGAGGGCAAAGCTAGTCACGTCCCTGCTCTGTGCTCAGAGGGAGTTCACTGGAGGCTCCATCCGTGTGTATTTCCCCTTCTTGTTAAAACAGAAACAGTCTCCAAGAGATGCTTGATCGAAAAACGTTGCTTGGTGCAACTTCCTTGGCTTTTTTCTTACCGGTGTACTTTTCAGTTTTCTTGACACTTCTCAGTTAAGTCCCCGTGATCATCCTCTGACCTTCGGGAACAAATCTCCGAAGACTGCCCCTTTGGAGTACTGCCGCTGAAACAGTTGCCGTAACCTTCTGATGACCTGTCTGCCTCGACTTAACTAGTTAAGCAGATCCCCCTGGAAGCCACTGTCTGGGGGAAGGTATCCTAATGCGACTACGTTTATCACTGAGAGAACTTATCTGAGCACAGCGACATGTTTGAACACATGAATGAACCGGAACCTTAGCAGCAATATTTAACTCACCCTTGTAGCATTCCCTATTTTTCTATAAGAAATTGTGGGGCCTGGATAATTTTTAAATGTTTGCTTGAAATCACAAATATAGTACCTCACCTAGAGTTTTCCTTGTGGGGATGTTTTAAATGATGTTTAAAATTGTTACAGGACTCCTCAGATTTATTATTATTCTTTTTGCTACATATAGAGCACTTTATTTTTTCACAGTTTGATCATATCATGCAGTTTAGTACAATCACTATCACAATTGGATAATCCTATTTTCTTCTTGTGCCAGTTTTAGTAATTTGTATTTTTCAGAGAATTCATTTATTTCATCTAGGTGGTCAAACTTATTGGCACAAAGTTGTTCAGAATAGTCCTTTATTTCCATTTCTGCTCTCTTAAAAAATGTTTCCTCCTCTTTTGATTATTTTTTCCCCCTGATCTGCTTAAAATGAAAGCTGAGGTTTTTGATTTTGAAGCCTTCTTATGTTTTGAGTCATATAATAATTCAAAACTACAACATTTCCTCTAATCATTGGTTTAGGTATGTCCGAAATGGTTTATGCTGTGTTTTTTTAATCTTTTGGCTTAATATATTTTCTAA